ATTTTTTTTTTTTTTTTTTTTTTTTTTTTTTAGTGTCAGAATGGTAACGGGAAAGCACTAGGAAGTAATGTGGTGACTCCACACACAAGTAACGAGGCCGACCCCCATACAATGTCACATGTAGACAGGATAGAGCCCCCAAGAGGCACAGGAACCTATACACCTATACAAGGCAATGTATCGGAATGGAGAAATGTCACAAGTGGAGTACCACAGGGTTCAGTTCTTGCACCAGTGATGTTTATTGTGTACATAAATGATCTACCAGTTGGTATACAGAATTATATGAACATGTTTGCTGATGATGCTAAGATAATAGGAAGGATAAGAAATTTAGATGATTGTCATGCCCTTCAAGAAGACCTGGACAAAATAAGTATATGGAGCACCACTTGGCAAATGGAATTTAATGTTAATAAATGTCATGTTATGGAATGTGGAACAGGAGAACATAGACCCCACACAACCTATATATTATGTGAGAAATCTTTAAAGAATTCTGATAAAGAAAGAGATCTAGGGGTGGTTCTAGATAGAAAACTATCACCTGAGGACCACATAAAGAATATTGTGCAAGGAGCCTATGCTATGCTTTCTAACTTCAGAATTGCATTTAAATACATGGATGGCGATATACTAAAGAAATTGTTCATGACTTTTGTTAGGTCAAAGCTAGAATATGCAGCTGTTGTGTGGTGCCCATATCTTAAGAAGCACATCAACAAACTGGAAAAGGTGCAAAGACATGCTACTAAGTGGCTCCCAGAACTGAAGGGCAAGAGCTACGAGGAGAGGTTAGAAGCATTAAACATGCCAAAACTAGAAGACAGAAGAAAAAGAGGTGATATGATCACTACATACAAAATAGTAACAGGAATTGATAAAATCGACAGGGAAGATTTCCTGAGACCTGGCACTTCAAGAACAAGAGGTCATAGATTTAAACTAGCTAAACACAGATGCCGAAGAAATATAAGAAAATTCACCTTCGCAAATAGAGTGGTAGACGGTTGGAACAAGTTAAGTGAGAAGGTGGTGGAGGCCAAGACCGTTAGTAGTTTCAAAGCGTTATATGACAAAGAGTGCTGGGAAGACGGGACACCACGAGCGTAGCTCTCATCCTGTAACTACACTTAGGTAATTACACTTAGGTAATTACCTGTTGATAGATGGTTGAGAGGCGGGACCAAGGAGCCAGAGCTCAACCCCCGCAAGCACAACTAGGTGAGGACATATATTGTAAAAGTACAAGTTGCCGACTAGTGGGCAGAGAGCACTACGCCGGCCAGGCAAAGAAGGCACAAAACTGCATCAAAAGACCCACCTTGACAGCAAAACCGCAAAGTCCCAGCACAACCACAACATGTGCCAAGACCCAAAAAGATCAGTCTGCAAGCCAGGAAGACCCCGGAACCCCAAAAGGCAGAACCGGGTCACACGAGGAAACAAAGTCCCCTGAACCCACAAAAGGGGGCCCAAGAGGAAGAAACTTCCAGAACGAAACCAAGGAACCCAAAGGAACCCACAATCGAACCAGGAGGAGCCCAAACCACCACATTTGCCGGCGGAGAACACGACTGAAAGGCAAAGCACAGCCCCCAGCAGAACCCCCTGGGAAAACGGACCCAACAGACCGAAAAACGAGGGACAAGGTGTGGGAGCAAGCATACCAGCCAGGGGCACTGAGCCTAAACCCATAGGCTCAGACCCAAAATCAACACCCAAACGTTCCCAGAGGAACAGGCAACGGCAAGAAAACACCAGAAAAACAAAGAAACGACAACAGGAGAACAAAAACCCTGAAAAAAAAAATTGAAAACTCACCAGAGACGCTCGCTCGCACACCCAGACGCATGTAAACAAACCGCAACGCCGCCCTGGTGGCCACGCCGGGAAACCGGCAGACGAAAATGGCCGCCAGCAGGGGCAGATAACAGACGCTAAATACACAAAAACACGCCAGCAAATGTGGGAAGCTAGCAGACTGAATGGGCGAAAAACGTCGCCCAACAGCAGAAAAACCCCGGAAGGGGCAAAACCGCCCCAGAACTGCTAGCAGGCAACCCCCACAGCCCCGGGAACCAACAACAGAGGCCCCGGGGCAGAGCCGTCCTCCAAGCCCTCCGCCCGTAAAGAAAAGCAAGAGTCCATGGGAAAGGCAACAAGAAAGGGCTACTGGTAAGACCCAGAAGCCTTGGAAGGAGGCACAGGCTCAAACCTCCGTCCCCAACCCGAACGGGGCAGCCCCCGAAAACCGCCCGAGTCTCTGCCGCAACTAAACCCCGCCCCGACCCCGAAACCCGCAGACGGTCCGGAGACGGGAACATGGAGGGAAAGGGGCGAGCAGCACCTAACCAAATGGGGCGGCCACGGGTCATTCGAGTGGGAAACCAACCTAGCATGTTGCAGCAACCTAACCTAGCTTGCAACACGGATGCCGCCTGTACTCTGAACAGTAATAACATCAGGAGAGTACTGGAGAACAAGCAGAGAATCACTCGCAAGACTCCGGGTCAAGGTGTCAGTGACCCAACAGGCAGCATGACGGAGATAAAAATGGCGACTGTCACCCGGAGACAAGGGAACAGCAACCAACGATCCCGTACAAGACGGGTTGGAACCCGGAAGACACATTCAATGGTCCCCCGAGCCCAGACAGGGGTTTCCAGGGCCCGTAGGGTAACAACTACGGGAAGCCCGGGCAAGGTGTTGCTAACCGGTGAAGAAACCCAAACATAACAAGAGGGTAGATTATAGCACTGAAAACCCCTGAGACGTGTACAATCATGGGGGCCTAGCAGAGGGCCGCCAAACACTACCAGTGGAACTATAACCACCTTAGGCAGACCCCCACCAGGCATGAAAAATTAAAAACAAAAGAAAAACCCCGCAAAAGTACACCGTCTCCAGAGGCAACAGAAACCGGCCGCCGCTTAGGTGGCAGGCTGCGCAACACCTTGACGCCGTAACCAGCACAATACCAATCCCTACCCAGGGCCAAACAAGGGCCCCAAGCCCCAGCTGGCCCCAAGGGCGAGGCAAATGTCGAGCAGCAAGAACCTCTACGGGAATGGTTCCCGAACGCCCCAGGGAAGATAACCCTGTTACGCAAGGGCAGTACTCACAGGGCGCTTAGGGAAGTCAGCCACTAAGCACATGCAGCCCCGGCACTGATGAAGTACTCCTGGCCACCGCACAACACAACACACGGCAGTGAACGCCACACAAAGCAAACACCGCCTAGGAAACTGAGGCCAGAGAAGCGTCAATCCCGGTTGACATTAGCGAACGAACTGGAGCTTGGCAGCCGGCGCGGTAGGTCCGGGGCTCCCCCCTCCCCCTCCCGGGGTGGGGAGGGCTGCGCGGACGATCGGCGCGGCAGTAAAGTGTGATGTTTGCTTCAAACAGAGTAATTACCTAAGTGTAGTTACAGGATGAGAGCTACGCTCGTGGTGTCCCGTCTTCCCAACACTGTCATATAACGCTTTGAAACTACTGACGGTCTTGACCACCACCACCTTCTCACCTAACTTGTTCCAACCGTCTACCACTGTTTGCGAAAGTGAATTTTCTTATATTTCTTCGGCATCTGTGTTTAGCTAGTTTAAATCTATGACCTCTTGTTCTTGAAGTTCCAGGTCTCGGGAAATCTTCTCTATCGATTTTATCAATTCCGGTTACTATTTTGTATGTAGTGATCATATCACCTCTTTTTCTTCTGTCTTCTAGTTTTGGCATATTTAATGCCTCTAACCTCTCCTCATAGCTCTTGCCCTTCAGTTCTGGGAGCCACTTAATAGCATGTCTTTGCACCTTTTCCAGTCTGTTGATGTGCTTCTTAAGATATGGGCACCACACAACCGCTGCATATTCTAGCTTTGGCCTAACAAAAGTTGTGAACAATTTCTTTAGTATATCGCCATTTATGTATTTAAAGAGTGTAGACGGTTGGAACAAGTTAGGTGAGAAGGTGATGGAGGCCAAGACCGTCAGTAGTTTCAAAGCGTTATATGACAAACAGTGTTGGGAAGATGGGACACCACGAGCGTAGCTCTCATCCTGTAACTACACTCAGGTAATTACACTCAGGAAAGTGTAAAGTAATGAAATTAGGCAAAGGGAGCAGAAGGCTGAACACAAGGTACCATCTGGGAGATGAAATCCTGCAAGAGTCAAATAGAGAGAAAGATCTAAGGGTCGATATCACACCGAACCTGTCCCCAGAGGCCCACATCAAAAGGATATCATCAGCGGCATATGCTAGACTGGCCAATATAAGAACTGCCTCTAGAAACTTGTGTAAGGAATCGTTCAGGACCCTGTATACCACTTATGTAAGACCAATCCTGGAGTATGCAGGTCCAGCCTGGAGTTCACATTTAGTTAAACACAAGACGAAGTTAGAGAAGATTTAGAGGTATGCCACCAGACTGGTCCCGGAACTGAGAGGAATGAGTTACGAGGAAAGGCTAAGGGAGCTGAACCTCACAACCCTTGAAAACAGGAAAGTAAGGGGAGACATGATAACCACCTACAAACTTCTCAGGGGAATTGACAGGGTGGACAAAGACAAACTCTTTAGCACAGGTGAAACACGAACAAGGGGACACAGGTGGAAACTTAGTACCCAGATGAGCCACAGAGACATTAGAAAGAATTTTTTCAGTGTCAGGGTAGTTAATAAATGGAATGCATTAAGCAGTGTTGTGGTGGAGGCAGACTCCATACACAGTATCAAATATAGATATGATAGAGCCCAATAGGCTCAGGAATCTGTACAGCAGTTGATTGACAGTTGAGAGGCAGGACCAAAGGGCCAGAGCTCAACCCCCGCAAATGCAACTAGGTGAGTACACACACACACAGTATATAATATTGATTTATTGAATAAATAATTTTACAGTATGTTCTTATAATTTTTCAATGATCTCATACAAAAGCATGTGAATATATTTATTTGGATAAACTTACTCAATAAAACAAAACACATTAACACTAACCATTAGTACCACCACAATCACAACAGAGATTGTTGCCAGGTAAGCCTCGTACGTAGGAGATGATCCTCTGTTGCAATTCTCGAAAGCCCGAATCTGCAGGTGATGGCCCAGGAGTGTCATCACACAATGCTTTCTGCAGAGCACCTAATATAAAAAGGTTGTTAATAAACTATATTAATAAAATATATATATAGAGTAAACATCAAATAAAAACATATGGTTTGTATTCCATTTATTGAGCTTACCACTAGGTACATAGGCCATCATTATTTGGCTTTGTTCTGGCACAACTTCACTCATAGTAAGCCAATACTTTCCATCAATGTTTTTGTACAGTGTGTGTAATCACCTAAGAGTAGTTACAGGATGAGAGCTACATTCGTGGTGTCCCGTCTTCCTAGCGTTCTTTGTCATATAACGCTTTGAAATTACTGATGGTTTTGGCCTCCACCACCTTCTCACCTAACTTATTCCAACCATCTGTTTACAAAAATGAATTTTCTTATACTCATCCTCACTCTAATGAACCCCACTCTATCGAATTCACAGATGATCCGGACAAATTGAATTCGGTACTAAATGTACAGATGTTCGATTAAGTGAGGCTTATTTGTTCAAGTGGTTTCTGAGACTGAGCGTCAGAGGTGGCTGTCATTAACTATAATTTACCAAAGTGTAAACAGTTACACAGTGTTTTATTTTGCCTACCTATTGTTTCCAGTGAGAAATGATTGAAGAATGATGGTATGGTGTCAGGGCAGGCAGGTGGTGTCATTGGCGAGGGTTGGTGTCAGGGGGCAAGTGTTGTCAGTAGTTGGGGTTTAGTGTCAGGGCTCAGGTGATGGAAGTTATTCTCACTGGAGGCAGGTGAGTTAGTGTTGTCAGAAAAGACTGGTGGTGGCAGTGATGGAAGCTGTTGTCAGAGGAGGCAAGTGGTGTCAGTGGTGGAAGTTGTTGTCAGGGGTATCAGTTGTCAGTTGTTGTCAGTTCTGTCCACTCGTTTGTCTGTTTTCGTTGTTTGTTACCAGAATTGGGGTTTGTTTTGGGTGCTTACTTTTCTGGGTGCCTGTCTCAGTCGATGGCAGATATAGAATGTTCTAAATCACATGTGTATTTCTATGGGCCATTACTCCTCGTGCCTCTCTGAAGAGGGCCAGGTTCTGGCTCGTGGTCCCCGGTAGGCCTAGAACTCCACCCACATCGACTGATGCCAAAAGTTTAGGTATATTCATATCGGCCTGGATAGCTCCGGGGAACCAAAGGGGTTCCCTCCAGAAAAATATTGTATATGTCATACTTTAGCCGCGATGGAGCTGAGAAGTTGAGAAAATTATGGGAGCTGAGCGATGGAGTACTGAAGGTCACTAGGCCCTGCCACCCCGTGGGGCGGCAGTTTCCGCGAATATAATGTTTCACAATTTTGATGATTCTCATTCGTTTCTTCTCTGGTTTTTTACTGTAATATTATTCAAAAGAGTGTAATTAATTTGTGGAATTTATTTACAGTGGTACCTCAGCTTACGAATTTAATCTGTTCCCAGAGATGGCTTGTAAGTCGAATATTCATAAACTGAAGGGAATTTCCCTGTAAGAAATAATGTAAATTGAATTAATCCGTTCCACACTCCCCCAAAAAATTAACTTCAGAGTAAATTTTATACGTAATTCACCCAAATATTCAGTACTAAACTATGTACAAGTTATTACTTACCTTTACTGATGACACTTGTCGGTGTATGGAAGACGGTGAGGAGGGGAAAGGAGAGGTGTTTGTGTTAGGAAGGGGAGTCCTTCCCATTATAACGTCAGGCAGTGATGACTTCTCTGGGGTACACACACTGGCACATTTTGCATTTATACCACTAGGGCTTGCTTGTGGCTCACCGATTGTTTTTTCTCAATAAAAACCTATCTAGCGACACTTGTTTTCCCTACTTTGTAACATTTGTCTGAAGCGAGACATCACATTCTTATTAAAAAGGTTAACACAACGTCCTGCTACAGCTTGATTTGGGTGACACTTTTCAGCAAAGTTCTGCAATTCTTCCCATACTGCACACATTTTCTTAATAAATGAGGAAGGGACATCTACTCTACATCAACAACCCTCATACCATTTTCATGTATCTCATGATCTCTTGTTTTTCCTCTATGGTCTCACATGTGTTTTCTTGGCTTGAACCTTACCACTGGCTTTCTTGGGACCCATGGTGAGATATATAATAACTTTTTATGTTCAAATTACCAAAAATCTGATAAAACTGTAATACTTTACAAAGAATTCTGGCGCGCTTGTCACTAGGCAGGAGGCACTGGTAAACTAAGGCGCGATCGCCGTGCAACTACGCGCTAGGTCAGTCATACGCATATCAACAAACTTCATTTCCCCGAGGCAAAGCTCGTAACCTGATTTGGATTTTACGAAGAAATTGGGCTAGTAATCTGAAAAGTTCGTAAATAGGGGCATTCGTAAGCCGAGGTGTTACTGTAGTTCAATGTGTGGAACATTGCTATGCTCAAAATGATGGGGCTCATATATTTCTCATGTATATTATATTCTACGATCACTCTAACAGTGTTTTTGCTGTTATTATACTGTATACAGACACATTGTATATACAGTGGCGTCTCGATTAACGAGTTTAACCCTTTCACTGCTCAGGAGTCCTGAGGACATTTACACCCCTGTGCGCAAGAAAAAAGAAATTCTAAAAAATTATTTTGTCTTCTTGAAATGTTAATTTGTGTTCCCTGAACACGGGAAAAAATAAAAAAAAATCATAGGTGACATATTTTGGGAGCAATTGACCGAGGAAGTCTGGCAAAAAGTGGGGGTTGACAGAGCAGTCGTCAGAGCCAGTCAGCGTCACCCGCGCTAACAGGTGGGAGTTGCCACAAAGATATTATCACTTAATTATTTCTATGTCTCTGATTTTTTCTTAGTTTTTTGCAGTAATATTATTCAATAGTGTGTATTGTAATATATTTATATAATAAATGTGGTGAATAATCGCTATACTCAAAAATATGGTGTGCATATTAGCACTTTCGCCCGGGCATGACGCAGCATTGCGGCATCCGTTTACTGTCGGTAATGCCGGGGATGACGCAGCATTGCGTCATCCACTTTAAATAATCGCCAAAAATCAGGTTTTTATCTGATTTTTTTGGGACTGGTTTTAAAATGCGCGCCGATGTCTTTCCATTTTCTTTGTTGAGCCTCGTGGCCCTCAGGTGGCTTGGCACACGCCGTGGGCCCATTGTTTTCGCTCCACTGTTGTGACCAATGTCGCCTCCCCTCGCATCTCAAACGTGTGAACATTTCGGCTATTTTCCATGGCTATATTTCTTACTGCGGCTTTAGAAACTATTTACACTTACTCCACGATGGATAGTGATCATGAACAAGGCCCTCCCAGGAAGAAAATTGCGAAAGAAAGGCTTGAAAAGGGCGGGAATTGGGAGTGTAGCTGGAAGGCGTCTGAGCGCTCACTTGCGGCTAACGCGTGGCCAGTCTTCAACTCGTCGGCGGTTGGAGTGTGACCAGGTTTTTTATTTTATATGCTAATGTTCCTCTAGAGAATTCTATTGCGAACCCATTGAGACCAAAATGAAAGACCTAGGACGAAAATTGAGGTGACCAGAGTGAAAATAGTGAAAACATTTTATCGTGTTTGCGCGCTCCTGGGTAACTCGTTTGCACTTTCTCTGTTTGCTGCGGGTAATTAGCCGGGCTTTTGGAGTTTATTTGCATTTAGTGCTGTAGAGAATTCTATTGCGAACACAATGATATAAAATTTAATCTCGTAGGACGAGAATTAAGGTGACAAAGTTGAAGCGAGTATACACTTTTCAGAATTTACGCGCGCTCCCGTGACACCCTGGGTCCCATATCGCACAGTTGAGAGGTGGCGCGCGGGGTACGCCAAAGTGTTAGTGATTCAATTATGTTCATAAAACAATAAACAAATAGTTTTGCTGCTATTACACTATATACACAGGTTATATATAAGTATCTGCATGTTTTGTTCACTATAACGAACCACTAAGTTGGTATTGAGAGAAGAAAAGCACCGAGGAGTGTCCGCCACACACCAGCCAGCCACTCGTTGCCACTCCCTTAACAACGCCTTACTCGCCCACTTTTTCCTCCCACTATCCTGTTTTATATTTTATTCACAATATACAGACATTATATATAAGAATCTACATGTTTTGTTCACTACAACTGTACAACTAAGCTGATATAGCTAGTTCAGGAACTAACAGTCGTCGCTATACACAGTCAGCTGGCGGCTGCCTCACTCACTCAAGGTCACACACGCTAAACTTTCTCCACCAACAATACCGTTTTTGGTGTTATTACACTATATACAGACGTTATATATAAGTATGTATATGTTTTGTTCACCACAACTGTACAGCTAAGCTGATATAGTTAGTTCAGGAACTAAGAGTCATCGCTATACACAGTCAGCTGGCGGCTCCCTCACTCATTCGAGGTGTCACGCACTAAACTTTTTCCCCCAACAATACTGTTTGCAGTGTTATTACACTATATACACACACACATTATACATAAGTATCTACATGTTGTATACACCATAACTGTACACCGAAGCTTGTAGAGTGCCCAAAGAGCATAGTGGCCACCCTCTGCACAGCCAGACAAATCATGCAGACGACGTCACTTCCATTACCCAAATGGCTCCTCCCAGCATAATCCTTTTGCTGTTATTGCACTAATACACACATTATATATAAGTATTTACATGTGTTCACCATAGAGAACCACTGAGCTGGTATGGTGAATGCAGACAATAACAGGTGACCACACAGTCAGTAAACGATGCAATCTCCCTCTGTCCCTCAGCATCACTCCTCTTACAGCGCTAATTATTACAACAATCCTGCTATTATCACAACCCTGGTTATTTATATCACAGTCAGGGCTCATCTGCAATATTGTCATCGCTAAATAATAGCAATTATATATTTATTTTGACATTTTTTGGTGATGCTGTGGTCACAAGCTGAACAGCAATGCTGTTCGCTCATGCTGCGTGCGCCAACCTTGGTTGCTCCAACAGTACTGTGCCTCTCACACCTGAGAATATTGCACACAATTTAAAAAAAAATGGTGTCTGTTTACAAGAGCCCTGAGGAAGCTATTGTGAACCCCGTGTAGCCGCGGGCCATTTGAATCATGCCTGGCACCCTTGGGCGTATATATACGCCATGCGCACGGTGGGACATGTTACTCAGGGCGTATATATACGCCATGCGCAAAGGGTTAATCTGTTCCGGTACCGAGCTCGTCATGTGGAAAACTCGTCTTGTGAAACAACAACAAAACTGTCGAAAAAGGTGTCCGAGAACCAGCGGGAATGCTCGTTAATTGAGGAAAAACTCGTCAGTCGAGACAAATGTTCTGCGAGTGGTTTGCTCGTTATTCGAAATGCTCGTAACTGGAGCCGCTTGTCAGTTGAGACAAATGTTCGGCGAGTGATTTGCTCGTTACTCAAAATGCTCGTAACTGGAGCCACTCGTCACTTGAGGTTCCACTGTACCTATCTATGTGTGTGTTCACCATAACGAACCACTAAGTTGGTACGGTGAGCCCAAAACAACAAGAGTGGCCATGACACAGCAGCCAGCAGATTGCTGGCTGACTCCCTCCTGCCTTCAGACTCCCTCCCTCCCTAAACACCCACTCACCAAAATTCTGCCTCCCACCATACTGTTAATGCTTCTATTACACTATTTACACACATTATATATAAGTATCTACATGTTATATTCACCATAACTGTGCAACTAAGCTGGTATGACGAGTTCAGGCAATAAGAGAGGTCGCCCCACACGCAATCAGCTGATGGCTGCCTCCCTCACTGGTTCAAGGCCAGATGCACTAAAATTCCTCTTCCAACCATACTGTTTGTGATGTTATATGTAATTTGTGTATATAGTGTAATAACATCACAAACAGTATGGTTGGGGGAGAAATTTTAGTGTGTCTGGCCTTGAACCAGTGAGGGAGGCAGCCATCAGCTGATTGCGTGTAGGGCGACCTCTCTTATTGCCTGAACTCGTCATACCAGCTTAGTTGCACAGTTATGGTGAACAAAACATATAGATACTTATATATAATGTGTGTATAGAGTGTAATAACAGCAAAAGGAGTTTGTTGGGAGGAGCCATTTTGGTGAGGGAGTTAGTGAGGCTATCATCTGCTGACTTTGTGTGACTTATGCAGTGGCCACTATGCTGTTTGGACACCATACAGCTTAGTTGTATAGTTATAGTGAATAAAACATGTAGATACTTATATGCAAATTGTGTATATAGTGTAATAAGTATCTTTGTGTTTTATTCACCATACCTATACAACTTAGCTGGCATGGTGTCCAAACAGCATAGTGGCCACTGCATGACAATTCACACAGCTGCCAGCAGATGAAAGCCTCACTAACTCCCTCTCAAAAATGGCTCCTCCCGACAAACTCCTTTTGCTGTTATTACACACTATACACAGGTTATATATAAGTATCTACATTTGTGTTTACCATAGCAAACCACTAGGCTTGTATTGTGATTCCAGACAATTACATGTTGCCACACACCAGCCAGTAGCCAGCCACACACCAGCCAGTAGCCAGCCACACACCAGCCTCCTTCCCTCACCAACAATACTCTGCTCCCACAATACTATGCACATCGCTAATTCTCAACATTATGCTGCTATTATCAGAATCCTGGTCACTAAATCATGTAAATGAATAATTTTTCATGTTTGTATGGTAAAGGAACATGAGAAGTCGTTTGAAGAATTTTAGATGAACAAAATAAAGCAGTGTTGTGGCTAGCATTGTGAACATCTTGAACAGCATTTATTCACTTATATCTGAACATTGTACACAATCAGGCTCTTCTGTAATACTATTATAGCAAAATAATACCAGATACATATATATTTGGACATTTATAGGCGATGCTGTGGTCACAAGCTGAACAGCAATGCTGTTAGCTCATGCTGTGTATGCCAGCCTTGTTTGCTCACTCAGTACCAGGCCTTTACACAGGGAAAATGTTGCTCACGATTTTTTTTAAATGGCGTTTGTTTAGGAGAGCCCTGAGGAAGCCGATATGAACCCTGTGTAGCCGCGAGAGTTTTGAATGATACACTATAAATATCAGAGCCCTGAGGCGCGTTGTGCACCACCCATCAAGAGCCTCAAGGTTTTTTTGAGCAGTGCAGTGGTTAAACAACTGCTGCACCCCCTCCGACCCTCCAATTCTGCAGAGACCCTACCCTCCCCGACCGCCACCCACTCCCTTGCCAGGATTAATGAGAGTCACCTCCATTCCTCTGGTACACACTCTTCAGTGACATCCGCCACTCCCAATGGCAGCACTCTCTACACTGATAAATGTAGACAAAAATGTAGACACCCACATGACGATACCCAAACGACATTCAAAGATCCACCACACCCACAACCACTCCTGATACCCACACCCATTCCAGCTTCCCTGCCCACCCACCCTCCCTCCCTCTGTGCCTGCCTGACTTCCTCTCTCCCTGCCTGCCCACCTGTCTCCCTCCCTCCCTCCCTGCTAGGCAGGCTCCCTCTTTCCCTCCCTCCCTGCCTGTCTGTCTGTCTGACTGGCTCCCTCATTCCCTCCCTACCTATCTGGCAGGCTCCCTCGTTTCTTCCCTCCCTGCTTGGCTGGCTGGTTGGCTTTCTCCCTCCTTCCCTGCCTGCGTCCCTCCCTCCCTCACCAGTTTGCTGATAAATTACAATAATTTCACTTGTGAAATTATCTCAATAATTGTAATGGGCTGCAAGAGTTATGAGAAGTAGTATACAATGAGTGTTAGGCCAGGTGTTTCACTTGTTTATCTCTCAGTGGTAAAGATTCACGTTTTATATTCGGCTGCAAGTTGACCCTTGGTTTTGGAGAGATTTTTAGGCTTCAAATGTTGACTTATATACCAGCATTTATAGTAAACTCTCTGGCTGTCTATTAGTATCCAGACAAACCTCTGGTCATCTGAATCCTATTGACATTCTATGGATTATGGACAGGGATGTGGACATAAAACTATTTGGTTGCAATTTTGTCTGGATGACCCAGTTATCCAGATAATCGAGTTCATATAGCATTTATCTTCCACAGATCTTTATCCAAATTAGATTCCCAGTGGATGATTACAATATTTCTTATGCTCTATCCTGGCCTAGGACCAGAAGTAGGCCCTGGTGATTACTTCATTTATGGGGCCGTTTGTATTTGTAACACACACAGGCCCACATCCATAATTGTACCTTATACTTTATGTAACAAAATGAATTTATTGCAGCATGTTTGTTTTATTCAGGAGAAATCTCCCTTAAAAAGTAGTCTCTTACCTTCTTTACTATTGAGAAGGACAGACATCCAAGCAGCAGCCTCAACTTCGTCTTCCCCCATAAGATGGTATGTTCGGTTATCTAGAAAATGAAATTTGTTGCAATTAGAAAAACTGTATTATGGTCAGTGTGTGTAGCACAGTATCCACAAAGGAGGGAAATGCCAGTGTATGATGAAAATATTAGTGTAAGCGAGTGCCAGATGCAAAAGTGCAACAATATGCTTGCCGTGCGGTAGAAGTACAGTAAATCTGTTGGCAACCATTCTCACTGACAGAGTGGTAGATAATGGCAAGGTCAACAGAACACCACAAGAAGCAGTAACTTAACCAAATTGTTAACCAATAATATTAAAGGTTACTATTATAACCAGACTATAACAGAAACATGCACTCAGTTGATATGTGTGACATGATTGCTGTTGAGTATGTATGAAAAAGAGTGAAGTGGACAAAGAAAATGTTTTTTTGCCTTATGGTACTGACAACACTGCTCAACAGTTTTAACATTTATATGTTGAAATCAGGTAATAAACCATCCATGCAGATGTTTAGTCTTGCTATTTTGACAAAATTACTTACTACATTATGCAAAAACATTCAAGATTCATACAGAGACAGAGGCATTCACCCACCCCCTTCAATATTGCCTTATGTTACTCCAGACAGACTGGCATTCAAGGACACCTTATTGCTACACAAAATAAGTTCTTACCATATTTGGGAAACCATGCAAAATGCCAATGTGAATGCTATGTTTGTAACAGCACACAAATAAGGCAAAAGATATGTAAGATAGCACAAACAGGGTGCAGTGTGTGGGGTAAGGCCCTGCTTGATACCTGCTTGGTGGGGTTCTGGGAATTCTTCTACTCCCCAAGCCCGGCCTGAGGCCAGGCTTGACTTGTGAGACGCTCTGTGTTACAGACAGGCTCGACTTGTGAGACGCCCAGTGTTACATGAACATCTTTACTATCACACCATCCAGAACTACTGAGGGTTACATATTGGAGCATAAACATGTACAGTGGGGCCTCGATTTACGATGGTAATCTGTTCCCAGAGACATATTGTAAGTCAAAATGATTTTCCCATAAGAAATAAAGGGAAATGAATTAATCCGTTACTAACTTCCCAAAAATTAACTTCAAAGTAAATTTTATACCTAATTCACACAAATCTTCACTACAAAAGTATGTACAAGTTATTACAGAACTGTACTTATCTTTACTGATGACTCCTGTTGACATATGGAAGATGGTGAGGAGGGGGGGAGGAGGAGAGGTGTTACTGTTTGGAAAGGGAATCCCTTTCCGTTATAACATCAGGCAGTGATGATTTCTCTGGGGGTACACTCTCCTACGTTTTACCTGCATACCACTAGGTTGTGGTTCACTGCCAGTTTGTCTCACTAAAAATTTGTCTAGCAACACTTTTTTTTGCCCTTCGTTTTAACATTTGTCTGTAGTGATGCATCACAGTGTCACTGAAAAGGTTAAGGCAACGGCCTACTGCAACTTGATTTGGGCGAGTCTTTTCAACAAAAGTTTACAGTTCTTCCCATGCTGCACACATTTTCTTAATTTTTGCAGAAGGGATATTCTGTACTGCCTCTATGGTCATCCTCACATGTGTTTTCATATTTAACCTTACCACTGACTTTCTTGGGACCAATGGCATGATATATAATAATGAATTTTATGTTCAAAAAGCAAAAAACCAGTGTTGAACGTAATGAAACGCCATTTTCTGGGTGAGACCTGGAGGCTCCCCGGAGCTATCTCAGGCTGATATGCTAATGTCAGAATATGGCATCAGTCATATGTATGGAGTTCTTAGGGCTACTGGGGACCACAGCCAGAACCTGGCCCCCCTCAGAGGCACAGGGAGCAATGGCCTATAGAAACCCCCGTGTGGTTGGAAGCATTTTATGTCTCCCATCGACCACGTCAAGCATCCAGAGAGGTAAGCATCCCGAAACAAACCCCTATTCTGGTTAAAATTGCTACCAAAAGTCGAACTAGAGGATAGAACTCCCCGACCAAAAACGAGCAAACTAGTATGATATCACACGTCAACTTGCCACTGTCTGCGCAGCTCTCCCCCTCCCCGGGAGGGAAAAGGAGGAACTCCAGAGCCCTCATGCCGGCTATCCACCCATCAGTTCTGAGGCTGGATGTCAAAACACATGAAAAACCGCCGACCAGAGGGAGGGAGGGTTGCCGGGGAGTGTCCGGGTCTCACCCAGAAAATGGCGTTTCATTACATTCAATGCTGGTTTTCTGAGGGGGAGCCCTGTCGGTTTCCCGGAACTAACTACACACAGAGGAAGGTCTAAGGGACGTATCCGGGTGGTGGCCACCACTCACACCTCAACACGAAGGGAGACAACCGGCTGCAATTGCCAACTGAAAGCGACACAGGCCCGACCTGGCCTAACGACGTGAACAAGGCAACGAGCAGCCAGGACTCTGACCACCAAAATCCCCACGCCCGAATGTCCGCCCAAGACACAGACCCAAGGATCAGCAGCAAGAGCCGCGAACTTGCAAATGTCACAGGCACAGGGAGAGACCGCAGGCTGACCAGCCTGAAGAACCCTGCAGTCGACCCGGGAGACCCGCAAATGCGAACAGGGAAGAAGAGAAACCGGATCAACCCTAAGCGCGTCTACGGACACAGAAGCCGTGGCGCTCCAAAAACGGCGGAGAGCCGCAACAGGGAACAAAACATGATGCACTCCCTGGCCAAACCAACAAAGAAACAACAACCCAGGGAGCCCTCTGGAAAGCAGCAGTCACATTCCACGCCAGAAAAGGAGAAGGCCGCAGAGGAACAAAACAATTGCCCCAACCAAAGGAGCAGAAACCCCAGCGCCGGAGGAGAGCATGAAGCTCACCAACCCAACCCCCCGAGGCCAACGCCAACAGGAAAAGAGCCCCCGAGAAACCAACCAGAACCGAAGGGGCCACAAAAACCGAGAAGAAAAAAGAGAGCACCCAGTCCCACGACCAGGACAGCTCAGATGGCGCATGAGCAGGCCGGAGGTGAACCAACGCATGAGACAGCGTGCGGAACGCCACAGAAGTAACCTCAACACCGAACGCAAGCGGAAGCGGCTCCACCAGCGCCGCACGAAACGAGGCGACAGTATGCGGCAAAATCACAGCCCCAAACCCATGTAAGAGAAGGACAAGACCACGCCAACAAAACACCGCCACCTAAGAAGGGACAGAAGAAAAAAAGAAGGACCGCCAAAATACCCCACACTGCCGCCAAGAAGAAGCACGCAGGTGGGACACCAGCAACGAAGACACCCAACCACCAAACAGAAGACGAGACTTGAGGCAGAGCCGAACGAGCCAAAGGCTGAGCCGCGGGAAGACCTCGGGTGCGACCACTGAGCAGGCAGAGCCGGAAACCCGAGCCGGCAAAGAAGGAGATGGAACATCTGCCATACCGAAAAACGTCCCAACGCCAGCAAGCCGCCAGGAGGGTGGAGACCAAGACACCGACAGACTCCAGAGAAGGGACACTGCGAGAGATTACAAATGCCAACAGGCCGGGAAAGCCAGGAACCAGAATCTAAACCTGGCAATAGGAGCCAAAAGGCACAAACAAAACACGCAACATGGAGGACACACTTTTGGAGGACAAAAGGAAGCTGAGGAACGAAGAAGGCAGGCAGCAAACGGGAACGAAGGGACAGGACCAACACCAAAAGCCGCTGGACATGTCCCACACGCCACCGGGAGACCAAAGATCTAGAGGGGACATGACCACCACAAGCAAAATCCTCAGAGGAATCGACAGGGTAGAGAAATACAAGCCAAGGAACACATGGGGCACATGTAATGGGGGAAACATGGGGAACTGAAAGCTCAAATGAGCCGTATAAAAGATAGAAGAAGCATACCAGTGTCAGAGTAGGAGTCAATAGGAATGCATGAGGAAGGGATGTGGGGGAGGCCAACCCCCACACTCGGCGTCAAGTGCAGATAAGAGCCCAGTAGACCCCGGAACCTGTTCAGAAATTGAATGACAGGCGAGAGGCGAGACGAGGAGCCAAAGCTCATCCCCAGCAAGCACAACAAGCTGAGGACAATGAGGGAGTACAGAGAAGCCAATGAACATGGAAAAGTCAAGCCCTTGTACAGTGTCAGAGTAGTCAACACATGGAATGCATTAGGCAGTGATGTGGTGAAGGCTGACTCCATACACAGTTTCAAATGTAGATATGATAGCAGGCTCATATCTACCAGCAGGCTCAGGAATCTGTACATCAGTTAACTGACAGTTGAGAGGCGGGACCAAAGAGTCAGAGCTCAACCCCCGCAAGCACAATTAGTTGAGTACATAACACACTCGACACAGGAACATGTACCACTTATCAGGCACCACCACCTTTGCACCTTGGAACAAGGTGGAGGTGGGGTCCCAAGACTGAAGCATGGTTGGACATACCAACCATGCTTGAGTCTGTCCCAGACAGACTGGGAGCTGGGCTGGATGAGTATAATCAGGAGCTGCCTCATATGGGCCAAGAGGCCTCCTGCAGTCACCTGTGATGTGACGATGGAATCGGGTGGTTAGAAACAAGAGCTGCCATGTAAGGGCCAACAGCCCCCCTCTGCAGGCACCCCTGTTTGTATGTTTGATGTTCTCATGTACGTATGTACTCCCATTCATACCCCCCAAAAACGAAACAGCGCCTGGATGAAGGAGATGCCAGACCACATAAACTCACCTGCAGAACATAGGCACGGAAGGGTCATGACACAAATCTATGAGAATGGAGCCGCCAAAGGCGGCTAGGGCATCATGCACCCATAGCCGAGAAAACCGGGAGCACCACCCACGGAAGCAGGACAGAGCCACTCATGCAGGAGAAGAGGAGGGGAAAGGCAAAGGAAGCGCCCCCCAACCAAAATATAGGAAAAAACCCCGGCGACCACCCCATAGCGGCACTCCAGAACACCCCCAAGAGCAACGGGGCACGGACTGGAGAATGAGAAGAGCGAGAGGCGAAGCACCCGAGAGAAAATGGACGCAGAACACCAGCACTAGTGCACACAGCCCTGA